TTATTAACCTTTAATATTTAAATTTAATTTTTAAAATCTTGTTTTAACAGTGTCCATTGTTTCATCTCAATGTTTCTTATTCATTCAGCACCTTTATATGTTGCTTTTTCTGACAGAGTGGAGTAAAGACCGCATGATATTCCCTAGAGTAACAAATATTTGTCCATTAGTCATATCAAGGACCATGAAATTTTAAATAAAAAATAATTTTCATGATCAATAATCCCTCAATTTGGGTTTGATATGTGTTCATCTAGCACTTTATGAGGGCCATTATCTTGTATTATTCATTGGTTGCTCAATCTATACGGAGCTGAGGATAATGACCTAGTATTACTGTTGTTTTGTTTTGTCATGTAGTACACCACAGAGCATACAATAAGTTTTAATTAACTTTTATAGAAGTCAGAAATAAAGCTGTGAGTGCAAACATGTAAAAACAGAGTAAGATAAAAGTTTCTTAATCTGATATGCAAAAGCTGTATGCCATTCTCCACACCAGAATAATGCAATTGACAACCTTCTAATTTGGTATATGCATTTTACTTTGAATTTTCTTATTTTCAAGGCTAACATCATTTTCCTGAAAGAAACCTTCATGTGTAATAGGGATGTATTATAAGCTCTTAACATTTTAGAAAAAAATCATTTGACTTTCATGTGTTAGAAAAGTGCTGATTTTGAATAAATCCTTGAGAACTGTCCTTTCTGCAGTAATTTTGTACAAAATAAATCAGAAAAATTAACTACTAAACGATTCAGACATGTATTAAATTAGGCACAGGATTGTGCTTTTCTGCTCTTTTCAGTCCTTTAGTTGTACTGAAAGCACAAAGAGAGGAAAATATGATAATTAACTGAGCATATAAGAGCTTCTGATGACTAAATTGATGTCTCAGTGGCTTCATCAGGGAGTTTAGTTATCATAACCTTCACTTCTTAGTCAGTTTTACAACATCTTAAGAAGGATAAACTATCATCGTGATAATTTATTCATTTCCATAATTATACAGATGGGAGAATGTGGAACTCTACATTTGAAACCTTAATATTCCCTTCATTAATGTTTCTTTCTCTTAAAAGAAAATGAGTCTTAAAATAGTGAGTAGGGAAGTCAAATGATGGTAGTTAAACCAAAAATTTACTTCTAAATTTTAACTGATTATAGTTAAAATTTGAGTTATTATTACTTTCTCTCCATTTAAGTTGATGAAAACAAAAATGTTTTTTTTATTCAAGCATTTAATCTAGAATTTGTTTGAATGTGCCCAATATGCATTTACTACAGTTTCTCACAGAAACCTCTTTTTATAATATTGCTTCTTTTTAAAACCATATTTTAGCCACTTTCACAGTAAATTCTTAAGATGGACAGATGTCTCCAAAATACTGCACATCCTGATTAGAGGAATAAAATTAAATTATAATGAAAAACAGCAACCACTTGACATTCATTTGATGGGGTTGTTGCAGTATAAAAACCTAAATTTGTCAGTAAACTTTTTTAAAACAAAGAACTTGTCTAAAAGTAAATGTATAGAAATAAAACCAAAGTGAAAGATGAACTGATATACTTAATTAGATATAGTGGTGTGAAAATGCAGACACAGATACACAGAGAAATACAAAATGTCAGTGCAGGTTTCCTACCTAAACAGAGCTGTTTTTCAAGACACAAGGAAGAAAATTGCCCAAAAACATCACATGTTAAGCTGATTAATTCAGGAAAATGGAAAAAAATAGCTTTGAGAATTTCCATTAGAAGATTTTAGGCCAGACTTGGTGGCTCAGGCTTGTAGAATAAACTCTTTTGGAAACTAAGGCAGAAGGATCACTTGAGTCCAGGACTTCAAGACGAGCCTGG